CTCCTTTCAGGTAGCTGTAGAGGGTGATGAGGTCTCCCCTCAGCCTCCTCTTCTCCAGACTAAACACCCCCAGTTCCCTCAGCCGCTCCCCGTAGGACCTGTGCTCCAGACCCTGCACCAGCTTCGTTGCCCTTCTCTGGACACGCTTGAGTCATTCAATGTCCTTTTTGGAGTGAGGGGCATTTCAGTTATGCTAATAGAAATTAAGAGTCTTCTCCCTGGCATCCAGATTAGGGAGAAAAAAGAGGCCTTTTAATGCTACATCTGGTAGTTAGGTAATTCTACAGCTAAACCATAAGCAGCATCGAGTCCAGGAATGTTTCAGTCATGTTCATTACCTCCTCCCCTTTCCCCTCCCATCCTCACTCCCCAAGGAGTTGGTTTTGGTAGGATTTAGGAAATTAAACTCTACAGTATTTTTAGTTATGAAAAGTCTTAGTTTTTACTGCATGCAAAGGTAGGGGCAATCGCCTGTGATCACACAACATGTCCATGTCCCCTTACTTAAATTCTTTGACTAATTTAGCAACACTCAACTGGTATAGAACTCCCCTATGTGTTGGCTTTGTGCATTGTTTTTGAGTATTGGAAGATTTCTTTTAAGCTTCTAACATATTTTAGTTTTTACTTTTTTCCTTCCACTGTAAAGTGTTGTTCTTTTTTAGAGACATTTAATGTCAGTCGTACACAAACACATGGAATTCTATGAATCAGTAATGAAGCAGGAAAAGATGGCTTGATGTGGGTTAGGCAATCTGATGGCAGCAAATAGTCTCAAACTGGCTTATTTCCAGTCTTTTGTAGGGTATTCCAGAAACTAATGCCTGTCAGAAAGTGAGTTTTCATATCACAGTTGTCAGAATCTTCCTTCTACATTTTAAAAATTTAATTCTGTATGTGATGAACCCATAAATGTAGTGGTAAAACTCATTGTACAAAATGCTGTCATACCTTTCCTTCCCTTTCTAAAGATAAAGCCCATTTATAATGTATCATGGAAGTACTATTACTTTATATTCTCATAGGGGAATTCTTTAAATTGTTCCAAGTTATGCCTATGGTGCTTTTTTAGGCGTGTCAAATCCTTTCCCAGAGGAATCTATAATCTGTGGTTCTAACACCTAAAAAAAGTGAAGCGAATAACAAAGTACAAGCATTGTGTGGCCACTTCCAATATGTTTCCTTTAATTTAACACTAGTACAATATTTTGGAATTTAACCTATGCAGTATTTAATAAAGACTTCCATCTTATTTGTTTTAAACAATGATGTATTATAGTACCAAAAAAACCCTGTTAAAACAAAGCTTTGTGTGCTGAGTTTAGGCAAGTTAAGATATGTGTATGCAAACCTGATGTTAGAACAGCAGCACTTCTGCTTCAGTAGAGGAACTGAACACATGGAATTTCAGCATATCTCTGTTTGGGCTGTTGATACATTAACAATCAAGAAGGAAGCTTTTCTTTAGCCTTAGAACCTGGGTTTTTTGTAATAACATGCCTTTGGGGGTCTTTATGCAGAAATACTAAAAGGGGGGGCAAAATAGAGCAATAGAGTATGTGCGTGAGAATGTGTTGGTATGCATATATATATATGTATAAATATACACACTTTTTTCTCTCTCCAAAAGTTATACTTACAAGGACTATACCAGTTTTTAAAATTGGCAGGTAACTTTTAACAGTGCTCAACATAATTATTAAAATAGGAAAAAAAAAAGTGTGGACTATAAAGTTTCTAATATATTTACCATAAACAAATAGCAGTTCTGTTTCAAAGTTTTTCACTATCACAATATACCACTGGGGTTTCAAACTGAGAAGGTAATGTTGCAATTTTAACAAAATTATACATTTGTTTGAAGTATTTTACTAATTTTAAGTATTATAAGACTACTTAAAATAATAACTTGTTTTAGACACTATAATAACCACGTTGTGGAGGGAATAATGTGTATAAAACGTCTTTCATTACTGGAAAGGAGAAACTTTTCGTCAGATCATCATGGTGTTTAAGCAGTTTTGCCTAACTCTTAGGAGTATGTAGCAGTGTTGATTCAGCATCAGCATGGCTACCAGTATATTTGAATTAAATGCTTTCTCATGATCATTGTCAAGAGTCCTTATTGTTAAAATATCCTGGGATCCCATCTCTTTACTGTTTAAGAAAAAGATTAAACAGACTGGGGTTAAAATTAAAGAGGAATGTTTCCTAGCAGACAGCCTTGTGCATTCACCTCTAATGGGAGATTCCTCCCACCTTTTTTCTACCCCTCTTATTGCCACTTCTAGTTTGATCATAAATTAGTTAATGATTTTGTAGATATTAATGAATGACTGGAATGGAACTCATTTCCTTATTGTGGTATTAGGAATGAAAGAGTATCTTTGATATGAATGACATCAATGAAAGACATTCCATGACACTGAAACCTTTCAGTACTGGCTCCTAACCCTGTAAACTACTTGTGCATTATTTGCCTTGGCATACATGAATAAATAGATGAATTGGACAAGCACACACATTTATTATTTCAGGTTGAGCCCTAGATATCAGATATACAGAAAAAAAATAATTCTGGGAAGTAAAGGGAATGGGTTGAATTAGTCCAAGTGTATTATTTTCTTGAGAAAGCTATGGAAAAAGTGTGGGTTTAGAAGATATTGAAGAATGATTGGCAGTTTTGGGGAAACACTCTAGAAAGAGTTAATCTTGTGCTAAGTTTCCAAAGGAGGAAATACTGGAATACATGAAATGATATCCTTAACAAATTATTATCATGTCGTGATATATATTTAGCCAGTTTAAGTGTCTTACCTTTTAAAAATATTTTGTAACTGTCTAGTTGAACATCTCTATGTTATCTTATTATTAGATTAAAATATCAATGTATTTTTAAATAATTCAGCAAATATTTTTACCTGTATGAAAGCTATGAAGGTGAATACAGCAAGCATAATTGTACAATTTGGTAGAAGTGCTAATGCTAGCATATGTAATTAAATGCTTCTTTTCAGATGCAGCATTCAATTGTTCAAATTACCTTGACTTTAGCAAGGCTTTTGACACTGTTTCTCACAGCATTCTCCTGACAAAACTGGCTGCTCACAGCTTGGATGGGCACACATTTTGCTGGGTAAAAAACTGGCTGGATGGCCAGGCCCAAAGAGTTGTGGTGAACAGAGTTAAATCCAGTTGGTGACCAGTCACGAGTGGTGTCCCCCAGGGATCGGTTTTGGGGCCACTCCTGTTTAACATCTTTACTGATGATCTAGACAAGGGGATCGAGTGCACCCTCAGGCAGTTTGCAGGTGACCCCAAGTTGGGTGGGAGTGATGATCTGCTCGAGGGTAGGGAGGCTCTGCAGAGAGACCTGGACAGGCTGGAGCCATGGGCTGAGGCCAACTGGAGGAGTTTCACTAAGGGCAAATGCCGGGGGCTGCCCTTGGGCCACAACAACCCCCAGCAGCGCTACAGGCTTGAGGAGGAGTGGCTGGAGAGCTGCCAGTCAGAGAGGGACCTGAGGGTGTTGATGGACAGCCAGCTGAACAGGAGCCAGCAGTGTGCCCAGGTGGCCAAGGCCAATGGCATCCTGGCTTGTGTCAGCAATAGCATGGCCAGCAGGGACAGGGAAGGGATCTGACCCCTGTACTCATCACTGGGGAGGCCGCCCCTCGATTCCTGTGTTCAGTTTTGGGCCCCTCACTACAAAAAGGACATTGAATGACTCAAGCGTGTCCAGAGAAGGGCAACGAAGCTGGTGCAGGGTCTGGAGCACAGGTCCTACGGGGAGCAGCTGAGGGAACTGGGGGTGTTTAGTCTGGAGAAGAGGAGGCTGAGGGGAGACCTCATCGCCCTCTACAGCTACCTGAAAGGAGGGTGCAGAGAGCTGGGGATGAGTCTCTAACCAAGTAACAGGTGACAGGACAAGAGGTAATTTGCACCAGGGAAGGTTTAGACTGGATATTAGGAAGCATTTCTTTCCAGAAGGGGTTGTTAGGCGTTGGAATGGGCTGGGAGGGAGGTGGTGGAGTTCCCTTCCCTGGAGGTGTTTAAGAGTCGGGTTGACATAGCGCTGAGTGATATGGTATAGTTGGGAACTGTCAATGTTGGGTTAATGGTTTGATTGGATGATCTTCAGGGTCTTTTCCAACCTAGATGATTCTGTGATTCTGTGAAAGGTAACCATGTAACTCTAGATTGGCAATGAAAATTCAGACCAGTTTCTTCCTCATGTTTCAACTTTGTTCCCTTTTTTAGGTATAAAGAACTAACAGCCATTTAAAAACAGCTTTGAACATTACAGTAAGACAACTGCAGCTGTAGAAGTCAAGAGTAGATTGTAGTTTCCCTCCTCTGAAGAGATTATCTGGAAGATTTCTGTACAGCACTGTGTACTTTTACAAACGCTAGATAAAATGCCAATTCTTCTTGCAGTTTCAGTTTGCAGTTCATTTGCTATCATCAATACAATTTACTTAATAAATGAAGGAGATTTAAAAAGCAGATTATGAGAGACCAAATAGGAAAATACTGCATCTCTAAACTTACTAAAGTATTGATAAAAGACTAGTTGTAAAGCAATTCTATTAAATATTATGTATACTGGTCTGTATGCTGTATGATCAATTGTAAGCCAGGAAGCAAAAAGAACACAAAGTATTAAAGTGAAAATAACCTGTCATGCAGACCTTCTCTCCCCCTAAGTGATAATCTCCTTTTCCCTACACACACTTACTCCTTTTTTTTTTTTTTTTTTTTAGAATGAGCAAGCAATCACTTAGGCCTGAGGTCTGCAAGACGACTGGGATTTCTTGAGCAGAGAGTTTGTCTGTCCCCCTACAGGACAGCAACAGGATTCAAACCAAGGATGAAATTAAAACAGTGGAAGAGAATGCTCATCATTTCACAGTTGCTCAGCATTACATGAGCCTGCATTCTTGCACCTATGTTTAAAATTAAAGTGTGCAAAGCTTTCAGGTAATAGTTAACATACTTGCCACTCTGGTCTGTAGTCCATGTAATAGATCTTCCCTCTGGTTTAGTTTTGTACCATATCCTTATTGCATGAGGAAAGTCTGTCGGAGTCTTAATTCCTGATTTCCTTATCTCCAAGCTCCAGGTGCTGGTAGTAAACAGAAGCTCTCCACAGCCGGGTGCCTGGCTGCAGCAAGTAAAATAGTACAGCTGTTCCTTCCAGCGATCTGCAGGTAAAGTTACAAGTTCATGTACGATCTGATTCCTGAGATTTTCCAGCTCCTTTGAATCATCAGTTAGCTTGGCAGACCTTGTGAATTTCTCAATGCCTGACACAGCAGCTACATCTACCTCCTCAACCTTTAGCACAGATAAATCACAGCAGTCCAATACCAGCAGAAAATCCTTTTTCCCATGATTCTCTATGTCAAAGAAGTCCTTTGAATTAGAAATCCCAGAAGCCTGTTCCTCGTTGCTATGGTTACCATTTTTATCAGAAGTATCTTCTTCACCTTTACCACAGATAGCAAAATCATTATATTCTGTTTTAGATGAACAGGCACTCACTTTTGTCACAGGAACATGGTAGGGTCCAGATGCCCTTATTTTACAGGTTTCATCGAACTGTGACTGGCAGCCTTCTTTGCCAGTACTGCTGGTTTTCCTGTACCGGCTCCCAGTTTCAAAGAATAAAACTATGATGCCTTCAATAACTTTACTTTGAAAATCGACATCCAAGTCCAATATATAGTGCTTTACAAGCATGTAGTTAGTGTTGGCCATTAATGGCAAGTCATCCTTCATCGGGTCTAACTGTGCCTCCATGTTCCAGTCTATTGGGCAACAGTTTTACAAAGCCTTAGTCATTTCTTACATATGATGTCTCCATAAAGAGCAAGGATATTCAGACTTCCAGTGCCAAAAATAATTCTGATTAATATTGCAGCGTTGAAATTAATTGCAGTTCCTCCTTCTCACATTCTATTAAAAAACAAAACAAAAATAAATCAGATAATTGTTTCAAAACTGCTTCTGAAATCTAGAAGTTATTTAAAGTCCAGTTGCCTGTATTAAAAATGTATAGCCAAAGGGTGATTGTGTCTCTACAGAATGGCATCAAGCTAGTTGCTTCAGGATTTGCTGTCAAGAACCACTGGATTTATTCTTCAGAAAAGATCTCAACTGAAAGAATTTATAGACAGCTTTTATAAACTGAAAGAAACAAACTTCACTACAGGCCTCCTGTTGACCCTCTTCACTCACAATAATCCTTTAGAAAATATACGTGATTATGCAACATCTAATTTATTACTGCACAGACTGTTTTAAAGGTTGCTGTATTTTTTTTCAAATGCATTACCTCAAATCATGGTGATCATTTTTCTACTGTGATTCTAAGTTAAGAGTAAGCCTAAATCACATCTGTCTTAAAGTTTTAAAGTAATAGTTTCATACATAAAAAGTATCTCCATGAATTAATATACTTTCCACATTACAAGTGTTCTCATATCAGCACTTCTAGCAAATTACAAGAAAATAAGACAATTTACTGTGAGTGCATTTCAAGTATTCCTTTGAGAACACTCATGAAGAATTTTCAAGTTTATAGTTAAAATACTTAAGGTATATGATTGCATCTTAATAGTTTGAAACCCATTAACTCTCAGGATAATAGCATCTTACAGAAGACAAAAGATTTCAGTGGAAAATGTGCAAATACCTATAAAAGCAAAAAAAATATTAAAATGTATCAACATTTGTTGCAACAACAGGCAGAAGTTCATCATAGAAGTCTGTCATGCATTCTCTGTTTTGTTATGATCATTGAGCTGAAGTTATGCACTTTTAGCTCACTTAAGTCCTTTTTGTCTACTTTCTAGACTAGAAATAGAAATCAGAGGAAGAGGCAACTGTTAAGATCTGTAATTCTTTCCCAGCCAGTTCAGTGACACTTTCCTGATAGGCAGCCAAGTCTGTTTTTAAGTGCCTTAAGTGAACAAATATCCCTTGTGATATTGTTTCAGTTGTTTCAGAGCCTCATCATAGACTTTAGTGTCCAAAGTCAGCACAGAGGAGAACCCAGACTCCCCCAAGACTTGCTATTTTTTTGTTGGAATCCAGGGCATGCTATCATCAGTAAGTGCTAGCATGCTAGCATCAGTAAGTGAAAGACTCGGGCCAAGAAATCATCTGTACTGTTCCCTGAACTAGCTTCACACAAAGCGCATAAAACATAGCAAAACATTTCCCTTCTTTGATGGCTTTCTACCACTCAGAAACAGCGCTTACATGGATGGCTTTGAAGACAAGCTGAGAAGAATCCTTCTTTCACATTTGTATCAATCCTCCTGCACTTTTGCAAACATATGAGAGCACCAAGCTCACTTCAGAAGGCCCTCTTTCACTGAAATATCCCAATAAATTCAGAATAATTTGAAGACTGCCTGCAAGAGACACTCATTGCATCTTCTGAACTGCTTCCAGTAGATACTTTTTATTCTCTGAGTTTCCCCAAAGTTCTCCAAATTTAATCATCATCTTATTCATTGTAACATTACTATTTCGAGTGCTTTCAAACTTCACATGCTTGCAAGAAAACACTTTGCATATTACACTGCTGTAACTGATGTGTACATCTGTTTCACAATTCAACCTTGTATCAGGATCCAAAAACAGATTCATGAGCTCCTGCAGAGTCTCAGTGATTGCAGTGTGACTTTCCAAAGATTACTTATCTTTGTGGATATATGTGCAACACTGATCTGTGTTTTGCCAGTTCAACTTTAAAAAAAAAAAAAAAAAAAACAGAGGAAGGTGATGAATTAAGTACCCTGAAATGGATATTGGTACCTAATATCATCATAGTGATTGCTTTCTACTTAATTTAAGGAAGTCCAGAAAACAGTAGAGAAGTGGAACTAAAGCATTTAGGAACACCTGTAAGAAAGGCTGAGGGAAGATTCAACAAATCTCAGCTTGGTGAATCAGCACTTTCTATAAATAGCATATGGCCATTACAATCGGGTCCTTATTTTGACACCTAATGGGGAATATCAGCAAAGCAACCAGAGGTTCTAGATGCTGCAACATGAGCAATGCATCTGTGATGTCTGTGGACATAACACTGAACTTGACATCTGGATTTTTTTCTAACTACCAAAACCTCATGACTTCTGACAAGTTAGCTAAATATTGGTGGTAGAAAAAAGAAAAAAAGTTACTTAGTGGAGAAAAAACCTAACACTGAACCAGCATTCAAGAATTCCTGTTTTGCACAAATACTTATATTTTATCATTTGAAAACCAATTACAATATAATACCGATATACTTTATAAAATGTGAGTACTATACTAACAGTAAATATTTGTGCTATACTGCTTATCAGTGTTTATATCTGGTTGTCTGTTTTCCCATTTGAAGATGTGATCAATTTCTCACCTCAAAAGTATGATAATTACACTAATTTACATTAAATTCTCAGCTACCATGTTAAGAAGCATCTCTGAACACATTAAAATAAATAGTAAAACTGCAGTTCAATGCCAACAAAACTGCATTTATTTTGTATTTAGGACTGTCAGATTTATTTAACATTACTTAACAGGGCAGATTAAGAGGTGACAAATAGTGCCAGACAAGTAAATTCCCTCCAAATTTAAAAAAACAAAAAAACCAAAAAAAACAACAAAAAAAACCCCAACCCACAATCAATTGAAGCATTACCAAAACATTAAATTATATAAACATAAATCCTCTCTAAAACTATTAATAACAAAACATGAAGGCCATGACATTTGAGAGACAATTGAAAACAAAAGCCAATGAAGCTAAAAACCCCACAGAATAGACATTATTTTTCTACAGTTGAAAGTTTCAGATCAACACTTGTGTTTAGCAGAGATGACATATCAGATCATGTTTGCAAACAGAGCAACAGACAAGAGAAACACACTTATAGGCAAGTAACAACTATTACTGCATACCCTCTGACACTAAATGTTAATTCAGACGTAACACTGTGTCTGTTTAATCCTGTTTCAAAATCTCCTTAACTTCAGATATCTCAGCTTTCAAACTGTAGGTAGCCTATCTCCAAGCACTAATAAGTGAATTTAAATGGCTGTTTTCAGGTGTCTCGGCTCCTGAAACTCTGAAGAATTATTTAATGAAATATTTTTAAGGAGTCTACAGAACAGAACTGTGCAACAAAGAAGCTGATACACTATTCTATTCTGACAGTGTTGGGAACCTATTCAATTATCTTTGTATTTTTGTACTGTATTTTGATAATTTCATATTGATATTGAATTAGCAAAAAGCTCCATCTTCTGTTCAAAGCATACTTCTGTTACAAATTATATTTCTCTACTAAACCCTCACACAGGAAGTTGTATCCTATGAAGTGAGGTGGTGTCTCAAGCAAGTGGAGATAGTCCTGTTTAGAGCTTTCCCAAGTGCGAAAGAAATTGAATGTACACACTACAGTTTTAAGACAGGGTAATCGTGCATCCTTTTCATTTAAATGTTTTGTAATAATTTCACCAATTTCAGCTTTTTAAAAGTAGGAGTTACATTATTGAAGGCACAGCAAACTCCACTACTCACATGTGGAGTATAAAGACTTCAGATGGTATAATGTGCAACAGCAGGTGGAAAATTGCATTAAAAAGAACACTGAAGATGACCAAGGTCATATATGTCCATAAGCTTATTTGTCAGTCTTGGGATACACATCCTCAGTATGATTTTCTGTCTACATGATGTTAATTGCAGATCTGATAGTTCATATTGTACCTGCTTCTAGCTAAACCAAACATATTTGATAAAAGTTTCAGCACTGTTTTTTCAATATCCAACTGCAAACATACATACACTGAATTCAGAGGAGGAAAAAAATGTATACAAGCAAGAAGCCTGACTTTTTTTAAAATGTCACTTCTATACTATCTGATCTATGCCTGCAGCATCCAAAGAATTACTGCTCATTAAACAACATGACAAAAATCCACAGTTAACAGAATAGAAATTATAAATTACATTTCTTCCTTTCCCTGTTCTCTAGTGTTTCATGGTCATGCACAGAAGCAGTGTTTGTTTCAGGCAGTTTTATACTAATGTGTAGTTGTACAGATGAAGAAATATCAGAAGCATACTATAAACAAAAAAAAACCCCAAACAATAATCATTTTTAGAGCTTAGCTTAAAACTATTTTTGGTCATAGCTGCATAATTTAAATTACAGTAATTTAGACATATCTATTTCTGTAATATAAAGCCTAAAGTAAATGATAAAAAGCAGTAGAAGAATCTTAAAGTCAACCTTGGAATGATAAATAAGCATCAGATATGCTTCACATGCTGTTACTTGTCTGTTAATTCTGCTGTAAAGAAATTGTCCACTAACATTCTTGCACTGAACAGTTCTTAACTTAGTGAAGAACTCATTCACAAAAGTTCTGCTAAAGCACAATTCAACACCCTTCTCCCAGCAGCAATAGTGCATACACAGCATATAGCAAAACACCACACAAGACAAATTAGAAAGAAGCTGCTATGAGTGTCATTGCTTTGATCATTTATTACATAAGCTCTCTCCTTGATTTTGTGTCTCCACTATATACTACCATTCTCTGAGGCAGGGACTCTACATTCATCATTGCCATGATTTCCTTATCAATGTGATAATGAAAAGTTCTTCTAGAAATTCAGAAACCCACTGGGAATGTGTTTTAAACTGCAGAGATAAAACCCTTTGCTGAGAAGTATATAATTATTCATTAGCAAGGCTTGTTAGCTGAACCAGAGATTTTCTTCTACGTGCTGAATAGCAGAAGCCTAACTCTCTGCAATATAAAATTGTATAATAGCAAAATAAGAAAATTGATAAAAACATTTCTTAACACTATCTAAATTCAGATTTTAGAAGAAAAAAGTCCTGAAAAAATGTTTAGTCACAACTCTGTCTAGCACTATAGACCTG